ATCGTACATATAAACACAACCGACTGGAAGAAATTACGCCGTTAGTTACTGGAGTAAAATTGTACATATAAGACAACCGATTGGAAGAAATTACGCCGTTAGTTACTGGCGTAAAATCTTCCATATAAGACAACCGACTGGAAGAAATTACGCCGTTAGTTACTGGTGTAAAATCGTACATATAAACACAACCGACTGGAAGAAATTACGCCGTTAGTTACTGGCTAAGACAATCGATTTGAAGAAATTACGCCGTTAGTTACTGGCGTAAAATCTTCCATATAAGACAACCGACTAAAGAAATTACGCCGTTTGTTACTAACGTAAAATCTTCCGTATAAGACAACCGACTGGAAAAAATTACGCCGTTAGTTACTGGTGTAAAATCTCACATATGAAGATTACCGACTGTAAGAAATTACGCCGTTAGTTACTGGCGTAAAATCGTACATATATATATGTTATTTGCCGGCTGGGAGGTAAGATTTTAGGTTCTTCTTATGTTAAAGTCTACAGTGCTTGCAAATGAAGCCCTCTTTTATTACTACATGGCCATGTAGTTTCTAAGTTTTAAAATAATGCAGAACTGCATATCGCGTTTGGAAAATCACGCAATGTTGCGTGACGCTGCGACCGATGTTTTTAATTTACAATATGCTCTGCTAGAGAAATCTGGCTTGACCGCAATCGAGGGAGTTTTTTTCGTGGAAAACTGATTTTCTAGGTTATTATTCACATGAAAGACAAATCTATTCATCGGGGTCTTCGTCTTTTTTTGCACAGCATCTAAAGGAAGAAAGTCGCGGATTAATTTTGCTTAGTAATTTCTAACAACTCCACTAGACCTAAAAAAGGAAAAAAGCAAACCAAACCAAAAAATCGTCTTACCATTCAAACCAGTTGCGGTAGCTCTCGCACTGAATCATTTCGAAGTACCTCGTTGGTCCAGCCAAGCCCTTATGGTCATTGGCCCCCGCAATGGCCGCTAACAATGGCTTCTAAATATAGGCGTTTAGTGTTGACTTGTAAAACTCCCTGAAGAAGTTTACGACAGTTAGACGAAACGCGTCAGAGAATAAAGAAATTTTACAACTACTGTTCGCACAGCGCTGCTCACTAGTTTAGTTTAAATTTTTTCAAAATTTTTTTAAAAATTGTTTGAAAAATTATTTAAAAAATGATAGGAAAAAAAAATTAATAAACGTTTTAGTCGGAGCTATTCCTGTCAGCGGTGAAATACTAGAATGGCTCCAGTCTCTGGTCGTCCGCCTGAACTGACTAAATGAATTTAGTCAGCAGATGACTTTTTCATCGCCGGAATGTCGCTGAAAGACCTCGCTGAACAAGAAAGGCTTCCTTCCCTTCGCTACGGAAGTAACCATTTCTTGTTTGACTCATCGGTGTTTTCACTCGCATTGATATTTCATTGTTCCGCTTTGAGACACGCGGTTAACAATACTCACGAGCAAGGAGTTAAGATATAACTTATTAACTTTTACTATTTTTATCATCCAATCACAGGTCGGAGCCATTCCTGTATTTAGTCGCTTTTTAGAGTAAAAACTTAATATGCATCTATCGCTTTTTTCGTTGAAAGTAAATTATTTAAAGTGTCTTCTTTCACTCGAGCTTGTTTTTGGGAAATAATGATTTATAAAACTTTACTGCGCATTGTGTTTACTTTTCCGGTTTCTCTAAAATTTTAACTTTTGGATAGGCACGTGTTACACGCAGGTGTCAATGTGATGTTTCCACAAAAATCTCGTGGTTCGTCATGTCACCCGGCCCTGTCCGTGCATGACAACGTCAATCATCGTCAAGATAACACACGTAATCAGCATGTGAACACCTTCACCCTCATTGGATCACAGTTAGTTGTCATTGTGTTGAGGGCCCAATGATCCCTAGCTACTATTGCGCAATTTTTTTCATTTTGTGGCGGAGGTAAAAGACGATAAAAAACAGAGGCATTTTATGACTGGGGTACCACAAGTATCCCAGTAATGAAACCTCGCTGATGTAATGTAAAGTTTCAAGTGGATCCACATCTTCACACGCTCTGTCGAAACTTTTCAATGTAGGACAAAGTCCTACTGGGCAGGTGCCACACGCTTTGCAACGTGCTCTGATCTATAAATAATTATATAATAAGCTCAGTTATGCACGCGTTTTGATTGGTTCTCACTTATGATCTATTGGAGGACAGGCTGCGCCTCGTGTGCCACTTTTTTGTTCTTACCACATTTTGACGTCATCTGTGATCTATTACTGAACAGACGCACGGCAACTTAGAATTTATTTGTTACATTGATTTCGTCACATTGAAAGTGACAACTCCACCAAGCGGAGAATGATAAGCTCATTGCAACTATAAATAGTTCTGTTTTAAATCCTCGCCCACAATACATGGCGTCCTTTCTCTTTATTGCATTGTTCTTTCGTTACCCCCTTGGTAGCCTGCGTAGCAGCCTATTCCGTTCCCTTTTGGCGGTAGAAAGCGAAAGCCAAGGGAAAGTTGCGCGAAGGCATATATTTTTTTGTTCCCTCTGTTGCCAGCGGGAGACTCCCATTTGCTTGAAAGGAAATGGAAGACAGCTTATGAGGTGAGTAGATTTAATAAATTCAACTAACGTCAGAGCCGCTTAGAGGTCACTTATTGGCTCTTTATGTTATGGACTATTTCATCCGACGCCTTTATATGCATCATTAAATATTAAAGCTTAAGATTCGATATTGAAGAAACACTGTTTTGAGGACTATCATACGTTTGGCGTGAGTTAAATCATTACTTGGTCGTATAATGTGTATCAAGGAAAGGGAAGAATCTCATCAGGCAATAGTAAGTTTACTATTACTGCTATTATGTATAGAGATCGAAGAGAAAAGCTTGTTTTCGATTATTCTGGGTATTCCATTCCCTCCTCGCCATGTGTTGGTGGTTTAGTAATATTTTCCGTAAAACAGATCAGCCTTTAATTCATTTTTCCATCTGATGGCTGCGAAGGAGACCTTCGTTAGCAAATTAGGATCGCGTGCCTGTAAGAGGTACCCGAAGTTTGTCGGTTTTCAACTCCACTCTCATTTTATATATCTGTTGACATGTTACGAGATGTAATCATCTTCCTCAACAAGAAATGCATTTCAATCCTGATGCACTCTACGATTTAGTGTTAACATGGAACTGATGAATAGTACTCGATGACGTTTTCCATCGCCGGGTTAAAAGATAGATTTAGAACTACGTTTCCTGCAAACGCGAACGGTAACATTCCCCTCTGAATGTTGCCTCCTTTTCTCCAAATTGTGACTAAGAGATCCAACAGATCAAAAACACCTCTTATTCACAACAACTACAAACATTTTCAAAATGCCGCCGTGAACCTCAATTCCTTAACCCTTATTGCTGGAACGGCAGTAGCACGAAATTTCGAACCATTCAGTTCGGCAGATTAAGTTCCGCACGACTATTAAGAAAAGTAAGCCTTACCGTCTTGGTTTCGAGTTGGCATATATTTTCCAATTTCGTCAACAGAATCGGTAATCGGTAACTTTTAGAACAAAATATATTTTCCCAATTTTCGTCAACAGAATCGGTAATCGGTAACTTTTAGAACAAAAACGCTAAAACGCAAGGAACATAGCGCATACAGTGAAGTGTAGTTCCAGAGAGGGTCAAAGGCCCTCATACGAGTTTCTAAAATAGGCGGCAATCATTGTTTTAGGGTATTATGAAACTGATCACGACACAGTCGAGCGCGTCTTTCCATCACGTCGCCATCGATTTTTATCACTGATGACACATTGTTCACATTTTCTTTTTCACATATATGTAAAGAAGTCATTTATAAGGCTTGTTGCTGGGATTGTGATGATTTTTACATTGGGAAAACCAAACGTAGACTCCATGATAGGAAAACTGGACATTTCAAGGCCCTAACGAAAAATGATCGTTCTTCAGCTATTGCTGACCATATAAAGACAACCGGTCATAATATTAAATGGGATAATTTTGACATTTTATCGTCCGGAAAAACCGACTATCATTGTGAAATTAAGGAGACTTTGTTCATACATGAGTTAAAGCCAGCTCTTAATATCAATGTCGATAGTGAAAAGCTTTTGCTCTATCAGCAAAGTTCTTCTATTGTCATTTGACAGACAGTTTCAATTTGAAACGTCTTTTTTATTATCACCGCAGATATCTCTGTTTAGTATCGAGACCCCTATTTTTGTATTATAAATAGCTTCCCTAAAACCGTAACGGTTAAACTTTTGAAAATGTATGTGGACAAACATACGAAACGTCAGGTTTAGTAAAATGCATATCTTAAAAATGTTTATCACTGCTGTTTGTGTTGTATTTCTAAACACTATTGTATCTTAGAAACACCCTTAATTTTAGCTTAATGTGCCCGTAGCTCTAAAACGAGCTCGGTGACACCCAATTTCTATCATCGAATTGCAATCAGCATATCAAGATTCATATTTTGCAAACTTAAAAAAATTCTATGGAGTAGGTTCAAAGCCACCTTAATTTCGTGTGTTTATTGGGTGCAGAGACACAAGTGAAATGAATATAGTGTTTGTATGGTAACCTTTTGCGGTTAAAAAGTTATCACAACGTGTTGAACAATAACGGGGCATTTGTTTGATACAATTTTCAAAGATACAGATGAAACAGTGTGGTAGCATCGATCCATAAAAGAATTAGTGTTAAAAAATAAGGAAACTGTTTTGAGCCACCTTAATTATTTGCATCCTCCAGTGAGATTACCTCAAGGGGGAGTTCATCATTTCTTGAAGGAAATTATGCGGCCACCTATAGCATCATGGTTTTTTCACACTTCTTAGCAATTCCAGAAACGTTTTTGTTTTTCGAATGAAAATTCTATTCACGTCTTCCGCAACAAACATAAAGACAAACAAACATAAGCAGTCTAGGAAGTCATGTGGGAACTGTTAGTTGATAATAAGAACACTCACACTGATGCAAAAATAGTTGTAGAATTTCAGTTTTATTGCTGTGCGCGCCATGTACGTACGTTCTCCACACCACTGGGCGCAATATTGTAGAGTTATACGCATGAGCTTTGTGGAGCGACCCAAATTTTGCTACAGAAGTCATGCAGGATAGTCCGGATTGTATATATAACTTAATTTTTGAATACTGGGTTAGTGAAAATTTCATGCTTTTCACAACAAAGACCGTAAAAACCAGCTTAAACTTCGAATTTTGGTCTTTTTCATGAAATAGAATGTTGCATATGTAGGTGTCACTTTTTAGCTAATATTGTGCACTTTAGAGATTGCCACCTAATGAGAAAAAACTCAAACGAGCTCTTTTCTTTTCGTATCCTTAAAACGGATCGGTGCCCAAAAGTTCCGAACACAATCCGAAAATTGGACATCCTTCTTATACCGACTTGGACACTCTGCTTAACGGGAGGTATATAGCCACAACTAAAAAAAATATGTATTGAGGAATAACCAGATTTTGATAAATATTTTATGAATACTTTGACGTATTGTGAAAACCGGGAGGATGTTTACACTAAACAAGTCGTTTCAAATTTTGAGAGTTTCCGGCTTTTTACCCTGAAAAGAGAGTAACCAATAACCAAGCAAGTTCCAAAGTACGCTTTAGATTTATTTTCTGAAAAGTCATGAGCGAGAATTACGAACGTTTGGAGTAAGGACGACACATTTCGTTCATGTCGATGTCGCCTTAGACTAGACGGTATGCTTGAAAGAGACTATATAAAAAAGTACGTTCATTTTCGAACTTTCACGGTGCGGTTAACGTAGGAGCGACCTTAAAAAATTTCTGCAAGTGAAAGAAAACGAAAGTTTCTTTCGACAGAAAACGTTAATTGTTTGAGCGAACTTAGTCATGGTTTGGAACGAACGCGAGGAGAATCCGCCAATTTCAGTCTTCAAAATTTAGCCATTTTGTCTTACCGACTCGTAGTCGATCGAAAATTTTTTACGCCAGTTTGCCTATCAAAACAAAGTTTGAAATTACCAAGGACCAAACCTCTGACCTCTGACCATATTTTATAACAACTTAACGCAAATCACTTGGCGAATAAATTGTGACGCAAATCTGGTGTTAAGTGTCACGATGATGATGATGATAACCATCATAATAATAAAAATAATAATAATAGTAATAATAATAATAATAATAATTTTTAATGATAATAGGCTTTATTCACAACTCAGTCAGAGTATTTACAAATGGGTATAGAACGAAAACAAACCGTGCTTTATGTACAAAAATGTCTAACTCCGAAGAACCTGCATGGCTAAAGCAAAATAAGAGTTCACTGGTAAAATGATCAACATAAAAAGCAACTATTTAGAATTCAATCTTTCAAATAATTGTAAACGATAAATAGTCTAAAAGTCAATATTTACAAAGAGAATAAAATAAGGAACATGTAAAAGAATGTAAGTCTAAAACTGAATTCGATGGACATGGCGCTTTCTGTTGTTCGGATGTCAATTTTAATGTTCTTAATGTAGCACGGGACTCTCTTAATAGTCCTTGAGCCTCTCAGACACAATAGAGCGGATCTTAATAATGAGGAAGACATTTTCGCTCTAATCCATGAGATGGTGTTCGCATTACTCTCTCCTTTCTTTGTTGAAATCAGCTCAGCCAGTCGGCTATTAGCCTGCGAGCAGGCTCTCGGCTAGCTTGGCCACTTCTTCTATCCAGCTCGTGACTTTGTTAGTGATGTATTCGTTCAGGAATGCTGTTGAGCCTACTACAGTCCCCAGATGCTTGTGTCCTCCTGTGGCGACATTAATAGCCGTGTCTTTGAAGGCTTCCCTCACGAGTGCTTCCTTTTCGGGTATAGCAATGATCCAGCACTTTTTAGCGTTAGGGAAGTACCCAGCTCTGGACAGAATAGATTCAATGCGTCCCACCAATTCTTGAGTTCTCCTACGGATCCTGTACCGCTCGCATCATCCGCAAACCAGCATTGCTTCGAGTTAGACTTCGACTGTAGGCACGTGATGAGGAGTTGGATGCTTAAAGCACACAAAGCCATAGCAAGCGGATCACCTTGAGTTGTTCCTTCTGCAGACACGAGTTTTTTTACCACCAACGATAAATAACCGTGCTGTCTGTCTGTATGTGTTTATTGCATAGACTGCAATCATTGGACAAACGACTCTGATGATATGCAGGGCTGCAGTTCTATTCAGTGAGTTAAATCATTGCATTCGAAGCATCGATACTGAAGAAGTACCGCGTCTGTACCATCAGCTTGAAATAGAGTATGCATTGTATGGACTGCAGCTTCACTTCCTGACTTCTGACCAGCCACAATTGAAGTGAGCCACTAGCTTCGATAAAATCTTTCTTAACCGCATTCATCACACATTTTCCAACGATTCTTCTTAATACCTCTCCTACCGTAATGATTCGATTTAGCGCCCGGGGCGCTTATTTACTTTTGGTACCTCAAGGGAGGGCACCTATTCGAGACAGGGCGCTTATTCGGGACAGGGCGCTTATTTAAGTTTTTGAGAAACAACCAAATGGTTAAAGCATAACTTTAATAAATGTTAAAATAACTAACAATAACAGAAACTGTAACAGTAACAAATTTTTGAAAGTTCAGTTACTTTCAAAAGAATTCTTCATTTATATACGGTAGCTGTAACAAGTATACATGTACGGTACGTTGAATGTTCGTGAGTTTATCTACCGTATTCGATGTCGATGACTTCAGTGTCACTTGCGTCAATTATCAAGCTATCTGTGCCGATAGAACTTTCCTTCCTTATATTCACATTTCTCAAAGCCCGCCATGAGAATAAAGTACAGATCAAAGTGACTGGATCAAGAAGACTGGAAAACGGACTTGTTGTCCCCGGAGCGTTCCTAGCGAGAACAACCAGCAGAGCAATCGCCACAAAATTTGAAGAAGATATTACTCGTTTGAAGGAATTATGTTCTCACATTAACATAACAGTTGAGAAACTCAGACGAAGACCACTGTTTTTGTAATGCATTATTACGTACGGTATATCGGCTATTAAAGGAAGATGAACCACGTTTGATACGTATTCTGAAGGCGCTTTAATATTAGAACAGGGGCGCTTATTAGAATAGGGGCGCTTATAAGAATGGGGGCACTTATTAGAATGGGGGCACTTATTGGAATAGGGGCGCTTATTAACAAAAACACATTTGAAGGGGAGCGCTTATTCGAAAGGGGGCGCTTATTGGAAGGAGGGCGCTAAATCGAATCATTACGGTACTCCAATAGGTCTTACTGCTCCCTCTCCTTTATCCAACGGAATCCGCAGACGGCTTGCCACCAGTGGCTCTATGCTAAAGGGATCAACATATTAAGTACACAAAGTTCTTGTCATTGTAGCTAGTGCTTCACAGAACTTTAATGGTGACTGTTTAAAAGATTTTCACGCAAGGATTCCTCTGAAGCCATTTGCATCGACGCTCGACGGGCCACCTGATCCTTTGGTCCTTAACGTAGCCTGTCTAATCATCTCGCCATTTATCTTGGTGAACACTGATTCTGGAACTTCATCATCAGTAGGTCCAAACAGCAATGTACCCAGTTTCGCTGCTTGTGGATTTGGGTGATTCTCTTTGAGCTGTGTCATGACGTCATCATTTCGTGGGAGAGCACCTCGATAGGCCAAAAATCACCAAAATTGTATTTTACATCCTCAGCAATACGAGTAGTTTTAATACAAGGAATTCATACCGCATTGCTCGTTGCAATGAGCGCGTCCCTTTGTGAGTGGTCGGGCTGAGGTCGAAAAATTGGCTACTGATCTATTCCCTCAACCTGCAGTGGAGGCCAACCCAACTGAGAGTCTCTCCAACAGGGTCCTTCCACGTCAGTACTTCCAGCTACTAACATAGATAGAAGAAACACTAGACAAAAATGGACACAAGAGGATTAAAATGAAGTCATGTTCTGTTATTACATGGCAAAGGCAGAACTCAACGAAGGAGTAACAAAAGATATATATAGAATATGGAAAGAAAGAGACCCAAATGACAGACCCAATATAACAGACAACGCACTATGAACCAACGTAGATATATTGAAAAACAAAGCAAGTTATCAGAAATTGAAATAGATAACATCAAGAAGCGGATTTGAAAAGGAATTGAATGTGACAAACAACCAAACAAATTGTGCACCAGATGATGTGTTTGTAGACGAAAGCAACAACTTAATGAAGAAACAAATGAAGATGAGGTAGAACCATCACAAAATCCAACTGAGATCGAAGAATTGGTTAAAGAAATTAAGAGGGTAAAAGCTGAATGGGGAAACACCAGGATGGAAGAAAAGTCTCCTCTACCCAAGATCAGAATGAATGTTTAACCCTTGTGCCTTTAACATCAGAGCTTACTACATCTGGATATGGGTACAAGATCTCACAAGTGCCCCAATCAGCAACCTGTTCTATATGAGTGATCTAAAATTGTACAGCAAAAATGATGAAGAACAAGCAGAAGAACTGAAAATAGTGAAACAATTTAGTGATGATATCGGTATGGGATTTGGCTTAAAGAAGTGTGCTAAAGCTAGTTTCAAGAGAGGTAAGCTGGCCTCATCTGGAAACTTAGCAATAGATGAAGACACAGCCATACAAGAGTTGAACCAGGAAGAAGTATACAAATATCTGGGTGTAGATGAAAGCGATGGTATCCAGGAAAGCAAAATGAAAGAGAAGATAAGAAAATAATAAGATTGATACTAAGAACTGAGCTCAACGGAAAAAACAAAATAGAAGCTATCAATAGTCTTGCAGTCCCAGTTGTGCAATATAGTTTTGGCACCATTGACTGGAAATCTCAGAACTAAAGAAGATTGACAAAAAAAACACGCAAACTGTTGAACATGCACAATAAGTTACATCCTGAAGTAGATGTGGAAAGGCTGTATATACCGAGAAAAGATGGAGGAGGGGGCCTGACCGAGGTAGAAACAGCATTAAAAACAGCAACAATAGGGCTCCATCACTATCTGAAGCATAAAGAAGGGCAATACCCTAAGCAGGTGCTTGAACATGAAAGACCTTAAGCCAAAAATTCGATAACCAAGAATGCCAATAAGTTTGAGAGGGAAGTACCAGAACTAGAGTTTGAGAACAGAGAAGATAAATCAGCCTCAGAAAATGCTTTAGTCGTAAAACACATGATCAAGTCCAGGATGAAATAAATGAAAGAAGAAAAGGGGAAAAATAAAGCATTGCATGGCCAATACCCAAAGATCCTAGAAATGCATCATGTAGATACAGTGACCACCAACAAATGACTATTAAGTAACCTGAAAGGAGAAGAGAGGCTACTAGTAGCAGCTCAAGACCATGCAATAAACACCAGAAACTACCAAAAGTGATGTGTGGCCAGCAAGTGGAGAGCAAAGGCAGAATGTGTTCACAGTATGAGGAGACAGTGGACCACATTGTATCTGGTTGTGAGGTATTAGCTAAATCAGAGTACATCTCCAGGCACACTAGCTGCAGCACATCTCCAATGGAACATCTGTAAAGATCATGATATTGAGGTTACAGACAGGTGGTATGAACATGAGCCGGAGACTGTGATACACAATAAAGACAACAACATCACCATCATGTGGGATATTCCAGTCAATACTGATCGAACTATTGCTGCGAACAGACCAGGCATCATGGTTAAAGATTCAGTGAATTCTACCTGCAAACTGATTTATATGACTATCCCGTCAGACAGAAATATCGCACTAAAAGAACTAGAAAAGAAATGTAAGTAAAAAGACCTAGAACTAGAAATACAGAGAATGTGGCAAATGGAAACTGAAGTGATCCCTGTGGTTGGTGGTGCGCTTGGTACAATAAAGAAAGGGATGGGAGAAAACGTCAAGGAAGTATCGGAGAGAGCTACGGTAACAGAGACCCAAAAGATCAGCATACTGATGTCCTTGGTGCATGGTTTGCACTCGGCTGCATGATACACAAAAAAGGATACCAGCAAAGACTGTGACAGAAGGGAGACAGTAATAATGATGATAATAATAATAATAATAATAATAATAATAATAAAAAGAATAAGAAGGATAAGATTAATAATAATAACAACAACGATAAAAACAACGACGATAACGACAATGACAACGCTAATTATAATGATAATAATGATAATGATAGTGATAATGAATAGATAATGATAACGATTATAATAATGATAATACAGTCGAACTTGTATATAACGGCCTTGTATGTATTAAGCGGCCGGTTTTCAAACTCCCGTAAGGTAACATTCGAAATACAAGAGATTCTAGCATTTACGAACGAAAAAATAAGAGAGGTCTATGCTAGGAAATGATGAATGTCACTGTCTTTTTTTAGTGTTTGTCACGTCGTTGTCGAATTTAAGCGTCGTATTCTAGTCGCTAAGTAGCAAGTTCCATGTCCCTAGTTTTCAGGGTCCTGTCCGCTTGTCACACTTCCCTCTAAGAAGGCCTCTTTATTACTAAGTCACGCGATCACAGGCACTCTAGCCTGACAGGGCATTCATGGCAGAAAAAATGGATAGTTCCGCATACTAATTATTGATTCTGGTACAACACCGTTCAGTCCTATTTGATTAGTGTACCGCTATAGATTTCTTCGTTTTCGATGCAAAAGAAGAGAAAGGGTAAACCTGAGGGTTGTTTCAGTTTCCAAAACATTTATATTTAGGTGCGTGACATTCGCTGTGCGTCTGTGTTCGTTACAATTCATTAGCCACCCGATTAGCGTCAGAGCTATTTTTAAACAATTATTCGCCGATGGCGAAATTAATATGGAAAAATAATTCATGAGACAAAGTCGAAGAAATTATTCGACAATATTCACTAAGTCCGAGGAGAATAACTGTTTTGATTTAATTACTCAGGTGATTATCAGGGTAACTGCATTTTCTTTCGTTTTGTTTCTTCCTCAGAAACAGCAACTCGCGAGGCGGTCATATTGAAAATTAGCACTCCTAACACAATATAATGCAATTCAGAGCGCCTCTAAAACTATTATACCAATATTTAAGTGGCCTCTGGTCGTTCTAAATTTTCTGTTTTCGATGCTTAATGGAAGAGATATAGTACCTCCTGTTTCATTTTTCACCTACTTTCGATTTATTTTGTACAGGAAAATCTTATTTCCCTTTGTTTCAAACTCATTATCGCATAATATCACCATACCGAAAAACAAAGGATAATAAAATTTGAACCAAGAATAAAAATGAACTACAAAATATACACAAATAAGCGATTGTTGTCAATTTTAATGGTATGTACTAAGCGCTCGTTAGAAACGTTTATGAAATGTTCACTCCTGAGTGTTCTGAGTGTTTCACATTAAGGTTAAATATTTCGTGAGGAAAAGGAGAGCAGCATTGACATCTTTGGACAACTTTTCCACGAAAGGGTTTTTATTCTGAAGCAGGTTTTTTAATTCCTCTATATCAAAGATGAAAGGGCATGAAAACAAATCGTTGTGGCTTTTTTTTTTGGTCCGTTCGTCATTCAATATTCAATAAAAAAATACTTCTGCCGATTTCTTTTTCGTGCTAAACTCCAGTCATCACACAACGATGTGCCGTTTACACTTACGTGTTAGCCAGCAGAGGGCGTGACAGAAGTGTCACTTTATATGAATCAATATGAATTCATTATTTTCTGAAATTGATACATTTGACTTCGTTTTCGGAAAATGGATGACCAGTAGGTCAAACTAGGCGGTGACTACTGGTGAAATGAAATGAAATGAAATGAAAGGAAAGGAAATGACTTTATTTCCCATAATGAAATAACAATTCAGCATGTTTATTTAGCTGTTATAATTTACATTTGGGAGGAAGACTAAGGAAACCCTCGCGGGCTTTTACAAAGTAGTCTCCATTTTAAAATTATTATGATTAAAACTTTCTGTCTACTATCGTTTTGAAGTTGTTTGAAATTTCAGATATACAAAAGGAAACGTGCTTACATTTGCTATTTTGAAATTGCCCACTTTGTTTGCTCCGCAAAAGTTTGCATCCCCGGGGTTTGCACGACCACGGTTCTCTACTTCTCTTGACACGATTTCACAAAGGTCCCAAGAGAACTGAAAACAATGCGCATGAAAGATTCTTGGGGCAAACTTTGTGTCACATAAGTGGCAAAAACAATCAGGACGTCGGATAATTGATGAAGCGACCGCAATATATATATATATATATATATATATATATATATATTTACACACAGGGGTCACCGCTTGACTAGGGTTTTGTATGTAGGATTATACCGACACTAATTACTTCAAGACCGAGTAGTAGCGCTTCCACTTTATTTAGTTTCTTTGCGCTTTATTTATCATAGAGTGTAGGCGACTTGACTGGAGATTCAAACAGTAGGATTTGAATTTAGGTCCCCATAGAAACCACTATCCACGCGGCAATGTTCTTACAAACATAAATTTCTATAGGCATTTACTTCTCGCTAAATGTTATCGAGTACGATCGAGTACAGCTTTACTCAGGAAAACGACCCAGGCCAGGCCGATGCACTTTATGGTCCCTAGGGTTTTGACGGTTCTGAGCACCAAAAAATGCGCATGCCCGGATGGTGTCCTAGTGAGCGTACCGAATCATTTTACGCGCAAACGAACCCAGGCCAGGCCGATGCACTTTATGGTCCCTAGGGTTTTGACGGTTCTGAGCACCAAAAAATGCGCATGCCCGGATGGTGTCCTAGTGAGCGTACCGAATCATTTTACGCGCAAACGAACTGCATTGAAATTAGAATGTTGTAGAGAAGGTAAGAATGGAGAATGTTGTTCAAGTAATTATGTGTTTTTTATAGCTTTGCAACCATTTTTGTAGATGAATGTTTTACACTGTGGCCTGAATCTAGTAGTGAGCTTCACTTTCGTGAATATCGCTCAACTGAATCACAAACAAGTTCTACAGCTCGCTTGTAGATGTAACGACATATATCTTACTCTCAGTACAAATTCTAGGACATAATTCGCTTCTGACTGGCTCAAAATACATACCTTTATAGGTCCTTATACCTCCATGATCAAACGCTTAGTGATTTAAATAAGCTTGCATGTGAAGTTTATGTTAAACTGAAATGTTTCTTTGCATTGATTATATTTTTTTGCCCATTTTGTGCTTCTCGTACTGTTGAAAATTTTTGGAAAACTTGTCTTCTTAAGCTTAAATGATACGGATCGTCGTGTTTCAATCAAAGAGGGTTAAAATTTTAAAATGCAGCGATTAAGTTGTACAAGAAAATCGCAAGGTTAAGTTATTGAGTCCATAATTTCCTGAAAGGAAACTTTTCTCTATATTCTCCTTCAAAAAGCAATGTTAAGATGCTGTTGCTCTCTTAAAAGCAAAACAGTCTGTCTTATACATATATATGTGTAAACTACTTTGCATTGTCAGTTTCTACTCTAGTCTCAATGTTTCATTCTCATCATAATCATCATTGTCATCATCATCATTTTATTTACCTTAATTAGCCCTACTATATTGACAAGGTGAGCAGACCTTGAGAAACTGCCAGGCTCGGCAAGAAAGCAATTTTCACTGCCTACTTCAAATTTTTGTCTGTATACTTCAAATTTTTGTCTGTATACTTCAAATTTTCAGCAGAACCCTGGCCCAGGCCACCAACTAAGTTCATCTTCAAAAAACCAATCACATCAGTTGTTAATAGGCAGTGCTGAAATGTCTCTGTGCAAGATGATTTCATCCAAGGCCTTACACATTTATCCATAAGAGTTTAAAAATGGACTTTTTTTCTTATTTCTAAAATGTTTTTTCATCCATACTAAATCAACATAAATTGCTTTCTGTGCTGGAATGCAAATAGTCAAGAAGAAATGTCTAATTTGACCTCTCCACACTTGAAAGGAAAGTTGTCTTTTTAAAGTACAGTCTTGATCTAGTGTTTTCTGAATTTTGTGGATGTTGTGGTTATTCATCATGGTGAATAACAATAAAAAGCTGGTAGTCTAGTTTCATTTGGATCGTGATCACAGGCAACTTTTTCTAGAGACAAACAGAAAACTTAGCTTTTTATTGTCATTTTCCAAATGTTTGTGTATGGTGACCAAAGCACTCTCTTAGTGTAGATGAAAGACCACTAATTGTTTTTGACAAATGAGAATGCATCCTAATCATGCAGTTTTTTCAATGGAATCAACTCAGCGTGATGTCCCATAGGTATCACTCATGATACCATATGATTTCAGGGTTTTGACACCATCTTGGACTGGCTGGCAGTGGACTGGCTGGCTGGCACACATAGCCTTGATCTCATGTGATAATTGGTTGTCAATTTATCATGCCTCGACATCATGCCAGGTTAAGATTGAGTGTTTTTGATTAAATTGAAATATTCCTGAAATGGGAAAAACAAACCAAATGCACAATAAACAGCCATCAGTCTTGTTATAAAATTTCAGGAATTTCCACTACGTAAATTGGATGTTCAGATATTGTACTGTATTTTTGTTTCCTCCCAAAGTTCTCTTTGTTTGAAGTCTACACTAGACAACAAGTCAACAATCTCTGTTTGGTTTTAGACTTGTATAAGCTCAGTTATAGAGTTATTGTAATACAATCTCCTTTGGATACTCGCTAATGAGTAGTGGGCTCTTATCTTTAGGAACAACTGTCAATGTCCATTTATCTTTGATAACAATCAATTTATTTAGATGTCTTATCAGCTACTGATATCCCACACAACTGATATTGTGTTTAAACAAAAAGACAGAAGAC